ACAGAAATTGTACATCTCGTCGTTCTCTACAAGAAAGGTTCTATACAATTTTCCCATATCTCCAAGGGTTTAGGAGTTATTAAGGAAAAACGAAAGTTTTTTCCAAAAGTTCGCCATTTCGACGGTGGGATGGTCGGATTTTGTCAACATGAATGAAATGCCAAATAATCATATGTAACTCATTAAATATCGAAATTAGAAGAAGAGTACACTATTTTTAATTAAAAAATTTCGATATATTCAGAAAAAAAAAATTTTTCGTCAGCGTCAATACTTAATTAGATATTTCCTTCTACATTCCTTAGCACGTAGCTATTTATTATTAGCATTATTCTTCCGACGTCTGATTTCTTTTTAATTACATGAAATGCGTTTTTCTAAAGTACATAAACTTTTGGGATTGACTGTATAGACAATACATCCTTAAAGCCACGGACATGAACTTTCGTTGTATGGACTACAGTGCGAATCAAAATGGTAAGACGCGTTTGATAATTTCATAGTAATTTTAGTTGTGAAGAAACTTTGTTAGAAATCTTTCTTATTCATTTTGTATACATAATGGGTGTTTTTAAGAGAGTTCGTGCTTTTAAGAGACGCGATATACAAGAGTATTTACGTTCTCGATGACAATGACTCGGTGACAATTCCAAGCTGGAATTCGAACGGGACAAAAATACTAGCAGAACAGACAGAATGGAAGCGCTGAATACGCGAAAGGAGCCACACACAAAGGGTTCGGTTGCGGCGACTTTCTTGGCCAGGCTGACCCCGATGGCGTACCATCAAACGGGGACAAAGCAAGGAGGCCGCAAATTGGCTGGTACAGTCGAGCCGCTCGGACAAATCAGCACAGCCCCGCGGGCTTACGATCGTCAAATCAATATTTGCAGCTCGCCACCTTCGTTCGTCGACAGGGCCCGGGGTGCAAAGTCAGGCGTGTCGGAATTAGGAGAAGGAGGCGCGGGTCGAGGGTGGCGAAGGACCAAGAACGGAGGCCAGGCATTGGAAATCGCCGGCAAAGTGAATTAACCCAGCGTGTTACTCTGTGACCGTACGTTACCGTTACGACTTTCCATTACGTATCACCGTTCGGCTAAAGTTGATTATGACCGTGCCGCTGCGAAAGGAACTGGAGCAATTTCGCACACACAAACATACCTCCATTACCCTTAACGCAATGACGTCTACGTGTAACGATCATCAACTCTGATACAACATAAATTGATAGGAACACCGAGAAAAGATTCCTTTATATGAGGTAAAATTGTGTACTTCAATTTTTAAGAGAAGTGAAGACAGGAAGTTTGATAGACACCTCCAAGAGAAAATGTTCGAATCCATTGACATGACAATGTATTTGATTAATTCCGATGAATCCTGCGAAATCCTATTTACAGTCCTCTTCAATCATCCACTCTGTTACATCAATTGCCCGATCGAGCTGTCATCGTGAGACATCCACCCATAGCATTTACTACAACTTCCACCTAGCAGGATCTTTTCTCGTCGGGTCAGGGGTACCCTACCATTTGAAACTAATTCGGTTGGGGATCGTGGCCACGGCACAAACGGATGTGCCGTATCGATTGGAGAAAGAAGAAGCGGCAGGGATTCTGGTATTTGTCACTGGGGAGGGGCAGCGAGGCGGAGAGAAAGGGCAGCGTTCGCAGAAAGCATCACGGAAGAGCGAACGAAATCCGACGAAACGATCCGGACACACGGATCCCGGTTTCGAACACGGCATACCTACGTGTTCGTTGATTGAGTTTAATCTGTTTTGTTAATTGCAAGGTCCGCAGAGCCCGATACGTGCGGTCGCGTTCTGCTGCGTTCAGCTGTTCGAGCCCCCTTGTCTCTCACCTTCGACGGCAGGCGCGAGAGCCAGCAACGAGCCAGACCGCAGTCAGAGCAGTTCCCTTATGGGGCCCATGGCGAACGTAGCTCCGCGGACGTGGCGAGTTTGAGGGGGCGGTTAACCGACTAATTGCAATACCGGATCGTCCGGTCGGACTATCTACGTAATCGTGATCATATCCGGCATTGTTGCGTCGCCTATCTCGGATATAATAGAAGTAACGGGCACGCGAACATCGCTAATGGACCGTCAAAAGCGGGGCTTCAGCGTTTTTCCGGGGTGCCGCCAGTCATTTTTCAAAAACCACCCTCCCACGCGAAATCGGCCGCAGTCATTGGCCGAGTTGCGTCAACGGCTGTTACCACTGTGACTCCGCCGTTTTTTTATTCTCCTCTTTCGACCCCGACCCCCCGCCCGCCCCGTGTCAGTTTCGGCAAGCCGAGTGAATAACGGCCACGCAGGATTTATAGGAAGCATTGTGTGCCGTTTTGTACCGCCGAAACTTTTGAGCGAATTTAAACAGCTATCTGCGGCTTTGTTCGATTCTTGACCAATTACAACTGGGAAATATCAACGGTCTCTGCGATTGAACGGAAATTATTCGGGTGTTTTATTTTCATATTTACAAATCGTTCCCGTGGAATGAATCACTGAATAAAAATCTAAAATAATAATGGGAAATGTACGCGATCAATTTCCATACACGTGAATATTATCGGAAACACTGGTTTCAAATACACTGTCCATTAGAAAGATGTAAAACGCTGGGTTTGGTTAAATCATGTGCACAATGTTAATAATTGTTTCAAGCCGAGCGTGTAATGAAGACAAATTGTCTGCAGCACTCCCCGTATCTACATCGGCCAGGGGTTTTTAATATCGTTACCAGTCGTTTTTCAAATGCTACCATCAGCGTTCATGAATTATACGAAGATCCATACATGCTCGATAGCGCGCATGCCGCGTATTAAAAAGCGAACGGGATCCGGCAGTAGCGAACGTCAACGATTTGATTAATGCTCAACACACAGACTAATCCGGTGTCACACGGATTTGTATTTTCTTTTTTTTATACATTGAATAAAGATCACAGCGGATAGTGTCACCAGATATGTGTCACACAGATATTGGCGTGCAATTCTTTCCTTTTAACATTTAAAGAATGTCAAATTTTGAAAGATCTGACTTACACTGATATTATATATTCGAGTACCAGTCGTTGTTTAACGAATGCTACAGAATCTTCAGCAAGGAGACAAAGAACATCGATAACGATATTGCCTTCAGTAAAAAATAAGACTCCGGGAAATACACCCAAGCTTCGATATTCGATAAAGGAATATCTTTCCCAATTATATCTTTTAATTTATAGCCCCTCTCAATTATCCTCGTCGCCGTTGATCGCACCGTGACACAACTCGAAAACAGTCTCAGTGGCCGAGATTTAAAATTTACCGGATATACTGTCCCACTTTTCCTTTCTCGTTTTGTCTACACCAGCAACTTCACCCGGCGAAGAGCTATAAGCTACCCAGTTCCTCCTTTCTTTGCCTTCCGTTTCTTTCTCATAGATAATGCGAAAATAATCATAGCCGTTAACGAGAAAACTTCTGACACTTTGCTGAACTCGATAATGTAAATAACTTTGCCCTTTCCAATCGAATGGCAGAACGGCGGGTCTAATTTCGATCCTCTCTGTTCTCAAGTTGATATTAATT